AAACAAAGAGAACCAAGAGAGCTCTGGTTTTACACTTTAAGGTAGGGTTCACAAGTTGATCCCACTTTTCAATGGCCTAAACTGCTGTCAATTCTCAGCAATGACCGATAATTGGTCAGGAGAAAAGACTCCAGGCAGTTCCCAGCAACTTAAACTTTCTTAAAGGTAAAGTAACTCCATGACAAGGTAAAAAAGTCAGTAACTTTTGAATATTTGGTTTCCATAAAGAAAGAGAGTCACAAAGTTCTTCATGGGTCAGTTTGACTCTGCTTTTTTCCCAACTCAACACTGCCTTTCTGTCATCCTTGACAAAGTTCCTGGTTTATTAATATTGCTGTAATTTACAATTTACTGCTCCCACTCAGTTATACATGGGCAAATATTTAATCTTCTTGATTGTTACACATAAAGCTGTGTAGGTCCTACACGGATAATAATTTCAGGTTTAGGGTTTGGAGCACTTCTGCTCCTAATGTTCCACATTAATCTACGTTCTTGCATTCTTCTAAACTACCTTTGTTGTCTGGGATAGCAGGAGCTGTGCTGCTAGTGAGTTATATTTTTTACTTAAATGTATTTTGCCTCAGGTTTTATTTTCTTTAATTTCTCTGAACTTTAAATTTACCCTTGGAAATCCATAGCACATCTGTTTTCACAACCTACAAATATCTAAATACTAATCAGTAAAGCCTATGCCTTCTCAAACCTGATACAGGGTCTTAGAGAACCAAAAATTCAATAAATGTAAAATTGAGACCTACCACCTGCAAGGTTATCATTCAAGAAATTGAGTAGTTGTTTGTACTTGGATTTTCACCTGTCTGTAAAACTCAGAAATGTAATTTTTAAAGAGTTGTTTGCTAATGTACAGGAATCTTTGTCTATGTATAAATATATACATATTCCATATAATTAACATGCCTTAAATGGATTTTATTATGTAGATTAAGATTATGCTTTTCCTCTAGATAATGGACAAACATTGGGGAAATAAGAGGTTGAAATGCCAGGTGGTTTTTGCTGTGGTTAGCAAACAGATAACTGTCTATGAAAAGCCAGATGTGCCTCTGGGAATGAAATTCTGTTGGCAGGAATCCTACCTGCAGGTATGGATTAACTGCAGGAAATTGATGGCCGAACAAGTGCTGTAAAGACTTTCTTTTTCAGAGGGAAATGGATTAAGTCTCTTCAAACAACAATAAATTTCAGTTATGGCTCCCAAATTTCACACATGCCCTTCCACTTTATGAATGAAGAAACAGAGAGGTTGTTGCATTAATGCAATGCCAATGTGCAATCTTCGTCATCTGGCCTCCTTTAACCAGAACATGACAGTCTGTTCTTTAATTCCAAGAGCTGTGCAGCGTCTGTATAATTACTGACTGTACCTCCACCAGACTTTGGTATCAGCACACAGACAACTCCACTGTAAGGTGCACCTCCATCAAAAGGTGCCCTTTATCTGCACAACAGAAAAGGCACATGTATTTGCTTTTCCATTTTCTGTGCAGACAAATGTTTAGATGGCAGTTGTACAATTTTTTTGAAAGTTATGTAATACCCTGAAGCAATCATCTGCTCTAAAATGCATAATTTATTCAAAAATCATTTGCAGAGTTGAGGGATTGATAGTTTAGAATGGAAGAATTATAGGTATGCTGAGAACATTCTTGCAAAAATAAGTCATGTAACGTTATATTGAGATCAAATATTTCAAAATTCCAAGTACAATTAAATTGTTTGCACATATAAGAGCAGTGAAATAACTTTGCAAGGTTTGCATCATAAACCCATATATCTACAGAGTAAATAGTAGAACACAGACCATAAAGTTCTGTCATGAGTGTTGCTTTCAATTTTTGTTTCATTCCACCAAAACTTTTCATATCAGTGTGGCATTTTTTTAACAAGTATATACAGGACCAAAGAATTATGATTGGTAACTTGAAATATATATCATATATATTTAATCTTTACAACAAATGCAAAAGCAGTAAGTGAAAAACAAAGACATAAAAGACTGTAAAAACTCTTGAGAACATATAATGAAGCATAAGAGTGAATGTCACAACAGATTTATGTATGTTCAACTTTCAGCAAAAACTGCTGAAGATGAATTTAAGAATATTTATATTTCATACTTTTGGCACAATAGCAGGAACCAAAATAAATTATCCAGGAATAGGATGTAAGAAACAGATTCAGAGTGTAAAAAACAAGTTAAATAAGAATTTTGAAATAAGAAACCTTTAAAGCCAAAAGAGAAGTTTTCCAGCCCTGCAGAGCACTCAACGACAGTGTTGTTTTTTAATGAGTTTTCAGAATTTCACTTTTTTTCCCCAAGTTTCTAGTTCAACTATTGTGAAAAGTATTTTGGAAAAGGTAAAACATTATTTTTGTCAGGAAAATGAACATATTTTTATTTTTCATTAAATGCATTATCTGTATTTATGCACTGAAAATTGTTCACAAAAAGCCTATTCCATCTATGTCAAGCCAAAAGAGCAAATGAAAAGGAACAGCAAAGGCAATTCTAAGGATAATTATTTTTTTCTCACACTCTCTTTTCTTTTGAGCTTTGATTCAGAAGGGGCATTGACAAGACTGTTTTTTTTTTTTTTGGTTTTTTTTTTTCCAAATATCTTGAAGCAGGAACTGTCATTAACTAAAACAAACACATTAAAGTCTTTATAAAAAATTATTTGTTTTCCAGATTGGGGTTTGACAAGAGCTGGGGTTAAGTTGCTCCATAGAGAGACCTGCACTGTGCAAACACATTGCTCAGCATTAAATAGTACCTTGTGATATTCATAAAGTAGATGGCACAGAATGGTCCATAGGACCAGCAAAATGACAATGCAGTTTTTAATATGATTCTTCTCCAGTCTGATACCCTTTAAATCTTTTTGTCAGAGAAAATTATTCCTAGACTGGATCACATCCCATTTATTGCAAATGTAATTCCAACCCCTGCAAATGAGAAGTGCTCAGTCTCAGTACACTCAGACAGCTCTGCTGTGATCTGTTTACCAGGATTAGCTAACAGGGTTTGCCCTTAACCAGCAGCACTATGCCTGAGAACCAACAGCATTAGTAACTCAGAGTGCCAGATACTGAAAGCAGAAACGCTGGGACTTCATGGTGTTCCACAAGCACTGAACACTACAGGAGGCCCTAAAACTGCTTATGAAAGTTGCATTGCAGGATAGCTATTACAATCAGACATCCTACTTGCTACAATCATTGATCAGCTGCTTCTGAAATCCTGCCCATCTTTACTGTGTTATCTGGAGTAGATAAAGTTTTAATTGTGAGCAGGTGGTATAAGAAAAAAAAATTAAAAAAAAATAGACAAGGAATATTCTGCATTCCAAATTTCTCATCCTACCTAATTTTCTGTTTGAGCATCTTCATGCTGAATGAAGTTCTTTTTTTTCAATCTTCTGATTGAAAGCAGTTTTTAAAAAGACAAAAATATACATAAAATCAATAGAAACAATAATATTTAGGACAACAAAGAACACTTCACAAAGTGCATTGCAGAATGTAGATAAAAAATAGTGCCTATTGCAGCTTTTTCCCTTTTATGCTTTGACTCTTATCTCACATAAGTTTGAAATAATTCCTAGTTTTCTTAGTAGCGATTACCAAATCCCATGTTTTTCTATTTATCCTGCATATATTTATGACCTTAAGAGCTTCTTCCCTGTTTTCCCTAAGCTACAGTATTAAACTTCAGAAGCTCTCATTCTGAGGTTTAAAATGGTTTAATTCACAATATTTTCATTCATCTTTTCTGTTCTGGATTTTGAGTAGATGAGATGACTTTTTTCAGGCATCTGAAATAATCCTTATTAAGCAGTATTCATTACTCTAAGAACTGACTATGATCACTTGTCATCAACAAATACCTGACCCCCTTGGTGTACTTCTCTTTAGATATGATGAAGTCTTAAAGTAACTTCTCCTTTTTTGATATGGTTTGAGTTATAATTTTTTCCTCTAAATTAAAAGAAATATTTTCATACTGACAGCAGTGAAAACTGCACGTTCTGTCACACAGACTGCATCCCTCAGTTAGAGCAACTTTTCTCATTTCCATGATGCAGACAGACACTGGCAGAGCCATTTGCCCAGGTCAGTTGGCAACTTCATCAGTTGGCTGGCTTGCTTATCCCACATTCCCAGTGCATCCCAGTACCCTTCCTTCCAAAGTATTATTGCTTTAGTGGTTTTCTTGAAAATCTGAGTCTTGTTTCTGGGTTTGTTATTTTTAGCCCTCTGTGCTGTTTTCAGTGCAGTGTTGCCATTATTTCATATAACTGGCAGTTGACAATTTTTCTCTTTGAAATGCCCTCTCTTTCAAATCCAATTTCCTAATTATCTCATGGGAAAGGAACAAGGTCTCTGGCCTTTGTTTTATTACTTATACTGAGGGGTGACGGGGACAAAGGCATGGTAACAGAAAGGACTCCTTTAGGGAACAAGTCCAGGCAAACAAGTGGAAGATGACAGGGTGGTGTTACATCACAGGTTGAACTTTGTATTTCTAAAAAGTGAGCTAAGAACCTTACCAGGCATGCATAGAATCAGAGACTCATAACATGGTTTGGGCTGGAAGGGACCTGAAAGATGATTTGGTGATGATTCCCTCTGCCATGGGCAGGGAACCTTGCACTAGACCAAGCTGCTCAAAGCCATGTCCAGCCTGGCATGCAACAGGCATGCAGATGTTTTTTGATACTATTAGCATATTTTATATACTATAGTTTTTATATTTATATTATATAAATAAATACATATATATTATTTATTTATATTTTCATATACTATATGTATATACTATATATTTAATATATTTAATATTAAATATATAGTATATATTTTATATACTATTTTATGTACTATTAGCATATTACTGTAGCTCACAGAAGTCTATGAAGATACCAGAATGACACAGTTCTACACACAAACAGAAGATAAAAGCCCAGCTTCCAGCAAAAGGCTATTTACACACTACCTCTGGTTCCTCTTCACTCTGATATTTGGATATTTGGGAATTTTTGAAATACTGGGGTCAGTCCTATAAATCTTAGAAACTTGCCCATTCAAACTGCTTCCTCTTTGTAGAGCTTTGAAAAGCCTCAAACACTTGGTCAACACCTCTTTGTGGGTCAAACATCTCCAAACCCACAACGTCCTCACAACTTGATTTGATAAAGTTGCCCTTCTTAAATCTGTCCCTGGACCTCTAAATACAAAAGGCAGTATCAAGATCAGAAACACAGCACATTTTTAGCTGTACTACTTAACACTGACTGTCCCTGAAATTTGATCTAGACTCCTATATTCTATGGGTTTATTTTTGTTATGGTTTGGGATGTGGACTTTTTTTTTTGTGGCTACTGCAAGAGATGGAGAATGATGGTGAATCAGATTAAGACCCCAATAAAAAAAATTGACTACTTTTAGTGTGAGTCTAGTACTAACCTGATTCACTTTGCAACTTAGCAGTACTTGCAAAAAAAGATAGAAGGAACTTTAAATGGATTGCTTATATCAATAGCATCCCTAATATCTCACCAAAAGACATCTAAGTGCTACTTTTTTCTAACATGGGAAATACAGACATTATATTATCTTCTGCACTGAAGAAGAAAAGTATTTCACTTACTCACTCCTTCCTTAGGTGTTGAAGAAAATGACAAAACCCGTTGCCCAGAAGGGTTGTAGGTGTCCCATCCTTGGAAACATTCAAGGTCAGGTTGGACAGGGATCTGAGCAACTCCATCCGTTTGATGTCCCTACTTGCTGCAGAGGGGTTTGGACTAGATGGCTTTTAAAGGTTCCTTCCTACGCAAACTATTGCACTGAGAGCAAAAATACAAGGCTGCTGCTTTAGGTCGTTACAAAGAGAGCAGCTGGGAGAAACCTTGATGAAAAATGCTTCTCCCACATAGACCTACCTGTCCATGGGTCTAGTTTGCTGTATTTTGCCACCATTCGTGACTGGGATATAAGAGGGGATGAAACATTTCAGCTGCACATGCGGTATGTGGAAATTTTCAGATGTCCTTGGCACAGGAACACCTCACGACCACCCTGTGCAGGATGAACCATGACAGCATTTGCATGATGCCGATTGTCAGCAGTCATCTGACCAAATCTGGAGAGCTTATCAAAGGAAGAAGACACTGTATCCTTGAAATCAAACTCAAGGTGCTTCTCGCTACGCAAGTACGAAAGTGTTGGGACTGCTTGTGGCGATCAGTGTTTTACTGTAGGCCAACCCAACACAGTCCTCATATAATTTTGCAGATGCCCGAAACGTCTAACATGAAAAATTTTATCGTCTTTTCTTTTTACAAACTCCTACGTGATCAAAATGAAAAGCTGGGAGTGGAAATACGACCTTCCGAGTATGATCTACCAGCACTCGAGCAGCAGCCCTAGACCTAGATGCCGGTACTCGCCTGGTCCCTGTCAGCGCTGCCGGCAGCCCGCCGCCCTCCCGGTGACTTTATTCCGACCGAGCTCCTCAAACACGCGGTTCCTGGCAGCACCCCGACAAGCTCCGCCCGTCCCCAGGCCGCCCCTCAGCGCCGCGCCCCCTCCCGCGCTCCTTTCGGGCGGGCGGCGCGAGGGCGCAGGAGCCGCGAGGACGAGGCCACGGCCCTCGCGCTCCACTTCCGGGTTCCCCGCCGCGCCCCCGGGCGCTGACGTCACCGCGCGCGGACCCCGGAAGTGGAGCCGGCAGGGGGCAGGCGGAGCCGCGCGCGGCACTAGGCCCGGAGCGGCCGCGCGCTCCCCGCGACGGCGCCGCGCGCGCCCCGCTCTGCCGGCGACGGCGCCAGCGCCAGGTACGTGCGGCCGCCCGGCCCGGGCAGCGCCGCCGGCGAGGGGCGCGGGGGAGCGGCGGCCGCGGGCCCTCGGGCAGCAGCGGGGCGACCGGCCCCTGCGCCGCCCGTGGCGGACGAGTAAGGTGGCGGCGCCGAGGCGCCTCTGGCAGCCCTGCACCGGGATGAAGACCGCGGGCCTCCCGTGTGCTTGGCGTCAGGCCCAGAGCGGCGGCGGGAGCGGACGGGGCGGCGGCGGCTGCCGCCTGTGGCAGGGCTCCCGAGCTGTCCGCGCTGCCCACGTGGGTGTAGAAGTACCTGTGTGCCCATGTCACCGGGGGTGCGGGGACATGGGCACGGTGTCACCGCCCAGCAGCGGCCCCCAGGCTCTGCCGAGCGCTACGCTATGCCTGCTGCCGCTCCACGTGTTGGCACCTTCGCAACTGCTTCTCGATACCACGGCTGTCACACGAACCAGAAACAGGGAATAACAGTTACAATTTTCTACATGAAGGGTATTGTTTTTCGGAATGTATCCTTACAGTCATCGCTGCAGGTTTTGGCGCTGTCAGCTACTTTTGCAAAACGAGACATGCCCTTATTCTCCACTGCCTAATGCAAGCTTCCTGTGCAGTCGTAAATGACAAAAAGTCATTTGAGCGTTATTCTTCTGACTTTATAACATAGCTGGGCTTGAGTGATAGTTTTCATTCCAAGAACTGCTCTTCTTATTAGGTGGGATTGAACACTTCTTTTTAGTCTTAAGTTTCTTGTAGTTGTTCTGGCAGCTTTGAAAGGTGCATGAAATATTTGCCATTTCTGAGTTATCCAAATGTAGGGAAATAATTTTCCAGTTTAAATGGTTACTTTTATTTCGTATTGGTTTGGCACCGAGAAAATACAAAATTTGTAATTCTGAAACAGGAGTTTTGTCCCTTTCCAACATCCACTGTCTTTGCTTTTTGAGGAGCGGTTGCCTTCCTTTTTTTTTTTTTTTTCTTTTTTTTTCTTTTTTTCAGAGATAGATACTGAGGCTTATGAGAGAGAATGAACTGCATTCCTTCCAGATACCTAACTTCTAAGTTAGTGGTGTTACAAGAGCCAGGCAGCTCAGAACCATGCAAGCCAGCTTGTCAAGCCTTCACAAAATGTGTCTTCCACTTTACAGGGTTTTTTTTTTGTGTGAAGTTTTTGGCTAAAGTGTTAAGTTTGACTGAGCAGGTAACAGACCTTTTTCGGGAGGTACTATCATTGGCAAAGGAAGTGGTATAAAAGCAACAGCAATTACAAAACTAACTGGATACCTTTGATCTTAACTGAGCACTGATTTGGTGACACTGAGGAGCAGGGTGTTAACAATATTTGTCTTCAAAGGAGAAGAAATACAAGTAATACAGCAGAAAGGTGGTGTCTTTTTAGTAACCCTTAGTGTTTTCTTGGAATCTTTAAGGAGGCAGGGGGTGAAAAAGTGTTAGGAATTGCAAAGCAGTATTATGATAGTGTCTTAGTTAAAGAATAACCACAGGTTGTTAAAATTAGGTATTTTGTAAATATGTAGGAAAAAATGAAAAAGCTCTTGTGTAGGCGAAATTAAAATTTTAACAATTGAAGATAGTGGCTTGGGGTGTGTCACAGAGTGCAGTCAATGTGAAAATACAGAAAGAATGTCTTTATATGCTCCTCTCGGTTTGGAACTGATGAAATCTGTTGTTCTGAGTGTTTCAGATATTATTTAACTTTCTTTAAAAAGAAAAAAAAAGATTCTTTGCTGACAAGAGTATTGGTCTTCACAGGGTAGCTCCAGATAGAGGCCCCAGGTGATGGCTGTTGCTGAAGTCGCTGCCAGTTCTTACTGCCTGCCTGTCAGCTGGAGGTCTGATGTGCCTGCCACCACTGGTGTTAGTCTAGGCACTCCCCAGACCACCTCTGTCAGAACATGGTGGGTTAGGATGGATGTAATATTTATTGTGTTTAAACTGACCTGACTCTTTTTGTCTGCAGCAGGTTAGCAGATGCGGGTAGGTGTAGGAATAAGATGAAAACTTCCAGCAGGCCAACAGTACTGAGCAGCTGGAGGCAGACAAGGGCATCGTCATTTCAGACGCACAGCGACACTCAGACTGCTCTCTGCCTTACTGAAATACCCTTAATTATTGGAGTTTTCTCACCAGTGCCTGGATTCTGTCTGTCTTCTTGAGATTGCCTTTTCAGTGATTGTATCCAATTATGACTATATTTAAATCTGCAAGTTGACTTGACCATGGTCTTTACTGAATTGCCTTTTATGTACTAGTTAGCAAATGTTTGGGAGAGCTTCTCCTCATAATTACTCAGTGGGGATTTATCTTTCAGAATCTCTTCTTTTAAGTTCACAACCTTATTTTTTTTTTTTTTTTCCCCTTGAAGACTCAGCACTGACTCTGGAGGTTTTGCCCATTCCAGGCTCTATAGAAAAAGTCCTGAATACAGCTGTATTGCTTGTACTTTGAATCTGACCCACTGTTCCTTTGGGGAACAATGTGCTGTCGTGACTGAGGAGTTTTTTAGATTTACAATAGATTACTGGAATTCTTTGAAGTAAAGCATACATACAAAGAATGAATAGATATCTTTTAAAATTTTTTTTTTTCCACAAGCTTACTGAAACAAGTTGGTTAAAAATGGACATGAAAACATCCTCTTATGAAATTTAGTACTGCTCTGTCAATTTATTTGGTGCTTTAGAAGGACATTTTTTTTTCTCTGTACAAGTATTATTGTACATATATATATACTTAGCCTGTAGATCAGTTTCACAGATTTTTACTGAGTGGAAATCCCAGAGTACAATTTAATGGGTTTAAATTTGTTATTTTTCATGGTTATTTTTCAGCATCTTATGTGCTGTGTGGATTTTGAGAACTTAATAGTTAACTACTCACAGCATTCCTTACACTGTTCTTGTAATGTGATTGAGTTTTATTGGAAGGTGGAAAGATAATATTTGCTTTTATATCATCCTTGCCTTTCTACTCAGCTCATCATCAGTTACTTATTAGTACATTAGTTTTGGTAATGATTTTTTGTTTTATGGCTGACTGCTTCTATGAATTAGACTAGGACCAAAGGTTATTTACCTCCAGCTACAGACCCACTCTGTTAAAAAAAGTGCCATGGGTGCAGTTTCACAGCCTGTTCACATTAGATTCCTGTTGCTGGAGTGGGCAGCACCCCTCTCTGCTTCCTGTCCTATCTCTCCAACCCATGCAGAAGACCAGCTGGCTGCATAGTGAGCCAGGAAAAGAAGCTGATACAGAGCTAGAATGCTTCTCTCTCATTGCTTTAGCTTGCTCACTGACATGAATGCTATCATAAGTAGTAGTGATAGGACACAGGTAAGTAGTTTTAAACTGAAAGAAGGCAAGTTTAGATTAGATATCAGGAAGAAATTTTTACAGCAAAGATGCTGAGACATGAGAGCAGGTTGTCCAGAGAGGCTGTGGGTGCCCCATCATTTCATGTGGGACGTGGAAGGCCAGGCAGGTGTTTCTGACAAACTGGTGTTGTGAAAGGTGGTGCTGCCTATGGCAGGTCATTGGACTAGATAAGCTACAAGGTCTTGTAAAACCCAGATGCTGCTATGAGTCTATAAGAAATTATGTAGGACTGGAGTGGAGAATCTAGAAGTAGGAGAAGGTCTGAAAGTGTATCACACAGACTTCAGCAGATCATGGATCCTGAGTCACTTTGTACTTTATTTGTCTCTGATGAAAACTTTTCAACCACTTTTCTGAGCAATCTGTTCTATGAGTTTATTAGTAATGATACTGCTGCTGAGGCTAGTGGCTCATTGGTCTAGTCAAGGCTTCACTGCTTTTATTCACTCCTGTTGCACTCTCCTAAAGAGTATTGACCTCCATCTGGATGGAGCCTCTCGTACTGCAGTTTGTATTCCCTTGTGTATGTATCCAAAGAGGAAAGATGAACCATGTAAGACTTGATCTGGCTAATTTTAGATGTTTCTGCTACTGTGGTTTCTTCCAGGTTCTGTTGGCCAGCAGAAATTAAGGAGACCAATCTGTGCTAAGCTTGCTTTACAGACATTTGGCTATTATAGGTATTGATTTTTAATACATAGGTGAAATAAGTATTGTCTTAGCAAAGAGACTATTAGCTGAATCAATATATTTGATATGATGTTAATTTAAGAAACTCTTCTGTGTTGGCAAACAGTTTTTTCTGTGTCATGGTTTAACCCCAGTTAACTATTAAGTACCATACAGCTGGTTGGTCACTCCCTTCCCTGTTCCTTTTGCCCCAGTGTAATGGGGAGTGAATTAAGAAAAAAATGTGAAGCTTACGTGTGGACATAAAAGCAGTATAATAATCGAAAGAAAACATAATACTACTAATGGTAATAGTAAGGAAGAGGATAGAGAGAGAGGAAAATAAAACTCAGACAAGTAACATGCAGTACAGTTTCTTACCACCTGCTGACTAATACCTAGCCCATCCCTGAAGAGCCATCATCCCCCCTTCTGGGTAGCTTCCCCAGTTTATATACTGTATAATGTTCTGTGGTGTGGAATGTCACTTTGGCAAGTTCATGTCACCTGTCCTGGGCATGCTCCCTCTCAACTTTTTGTGCAGCTACTCATTAGCAGAGCACGAGACACACAAAAGCCCTGGACTTGAGGTAAACACTACCTAACAATAGTCAAACCATCCATCAGCATTATTCTCATCCCAAATCCAAAACACAGGACTGTACCTCTCATTCTGAATCCAAAACACAGCTACACTAACCCAGTCAAAACCAGGACATGCAGGTAGCCAAAAAGAAGAATTTTATTTTCTGTCTAGAAAAAGAGATTATGATTAAAATAAGAATTAACTGTACACGTTGGCAGTTGTACTGCAAGTTAGCCAGTTCCACTGTTGACTGGAAACAGGTGCATACCTGAAGCACCAGTAATGTTAGTGCTTACATTTGTTGACACTTGTGCATTTAAATTCAGGCCCATCAAATATATTTTTCCAGTTTCTTCTTTTTTTAGTGTTGGAAATAAGGAATTTTACTTTAAATTTCAAGTCAAAAGTTTAGGCTATTTTTTTTTTTGAGAGGGACATGCTAAAAATGTTTTTGATCATATTGAAAATATTCTTGATTACTCTTAAGTGCCCCTAAGCAACTCCAAGGTATAGGTAAAGAATATGAAATTTAATAGGAAGATAGCTTTGGAAATTGTGAACTATTTCCCAAGATAGCTAATCTGGATTTGTCTGAATTACAAGCTCCATGAAGTTGTCATTTTCCATTTGTGTTATATCATTTAAGGTACTTAATTTGAATTCTCTGGACATTTCAGTAGCAATATACATATTCTGCTGACCCATAGAGCTTTCTTCATTGTATCAGATTTATGCAGTGTCTGTAGTGAAAGCTGCTGATGGGACATGGCAAAAAGTGTGTTCTTTGGTTTCTTGTCATCCCTTGACTGAGGTATCTTTTCTCTTAGGAACAGGCAGAGTGGACCCCTGATGGTTTTGTTTTAGGTGTATGAAGAGAGGTGATACTGTACTTCAGAGATGTTTTATACTTATGAGTCTTGGTTTTTGGAGTAATAACTGCTTGTTTGAGAATATGGACAAAGTAATTCTGATTGATCATGTTGTCAGAGTGCCAGGTACTCTCCAGGTTGTCTACAATGCTGTGTGAAAGACCAAACTTAACAAATCATGTGGTGCTTATAGTTTCTTCTGAAGTTCTGCAAGCCAGGCTTTATAAAGTCTTGAAATGTGCATTTGAGTGGCTGTCATGTTTTAGCATACAATACATGCAAATCTCTAATTCTTGTTTAACTTAAGAAGATGGTAAATTATGCTCTTGTTTGCATCCCTCCTTCTTATTTTAGGCACAATGTATAGCAAATCTTGAAAACATCTTGCTTGTTTTTCCTAACAAATAGGCATCTCATTCCTCTTGCAGAGCATGTGCGTTATAAACCCACCACAAGAAGGAATTTGTTAAGTGGGCTAGATTTGAATAAGTACGGGCACAACAATCAAAAGGAAAACTGAAAATACTTCAAAGAAGAAATGCAGGAAGCATTAACAGAATTAACAGGAAGCCTTGGCAGTGGAAGAGCCAATATATAAAAGCATTATTAAAATTTGGTGAAATGAGAGATAAAGAGGTGTGTTCATGCACACAGTCTGTATGTCTTGAATAATGATCATTGTACTGAATATCTACCCACCGAATCACACAGTTCAGTCTTGTGAAATAATATCTGAATGAAAAGAGAATTCTGTATCTGTATGTTGGTATCTTCCATGCTGCAGAAGTGTGTTAACATAGCCTACCTGCAGCCTAGGAGGAAGATCTGAGAATAAGCACAGCCATCAAAATAAAAGCTGCTATTAATGCAGACTTGCATTTGATACATGCTAATTGATAAGTCAAAAATTGGTGGAAGTTTCTTTATACTTTATCTTAAATGTTTGCATTTTTGAATATAAGGGTTTGACTTTTGGAAGCATAAACTATTTCCTACCACAGTGATCATTTCTTGAGTCCTTCTTTTGGTCTCTCTGTATTTCTTTCTTGGCCATGTTGGCAAATCAAGCTAAAAATCTTTTAGGCAGCAGCTGTATCCCTGTTCTGTCACCTCAGTTGCACCAGGTAATGAACAAAATCTGAAAATTGATAAATTAAAAGTATACTCTTAAAAAAAAAAGAAAGAAGAGGAGGGGGAGGGAAAAGAAAGAAAGGTAGTTTTAACTCAGATCAAGTCACTGTTTTGGTTTAACTCAGATATGATTCCCTGAACTGGTTCTCTGTGCATTGCTACAAACAGTTCTGTCAGCTGAGGGGATAGCATGGGGTGGGACTGCTAAAGTCGTTTTGCAAAGATGTGTTTGTGAATATGTCTTTTGATTCTAAGACCTGGGGGCAGG